CTCCTCCTCCTCCTCCTCCTCCTCCTCCTCCTCCTCCTCCTCCTCTTCTTCTTCTTCTTCTTCTTCTTCTTCGTCTTCTTCTTCTTCTTCTTCTCCTTCTTCTTCTGCCTCAGCTCCTCCCTATGCTGCTGCCGGTGCTGCTTTTCCTCCTGCTCCTTGCATTGCCGCTGCTGCTGCCCCTCCCCCCCCTTCTCCTCCTGTTGCTCCTACTCCTTTCTGCGTGTGCCATTCTGCCAATTGTGTGATGGAAAAATAAGAGGGAAGAAGGCAGGGGACCAGAAGCTAAAAGATGGGCCTGTCCGATAAGAGTGTTAAGATCCAGGTAATTCAGACACCAGAAGAAATGTTGACAAACACTCGTTTTCGTAAAAAACAACTTGTAGATATTGGTATGGTTACTACACAACAGGCTATGGATTCGGAATATGTATGAAAATGTAACCATGGAATTCGTGATTAATGTCTTTCAGGGCCTCATTCCGCCAAGGCCTATTGCTTGGAAGTACGGAAGTCATATACCCGGTGCTGGTGTGGCTGCTGTCCCAGGTGAGCTGGATCATTTGTGTATATGCCAAGACTCTTAACCTGTGAACATACGCACTCTCTCGAGCTGCAGGCGTAAGGCAACGTCTGTACTTGTCTACTCTTTCCCTGACTTTTTCTTACCTTCCCTTTCACCCCTTCTCTCGCCCCCGTCCCCCCTCCAACCCACTTGGCCCTTTTTTTCCATCTGTTGGGTCTGACTCTTAATGTGTTCCAGTGATAAGCAACCAGACTGCTGGCCCCCTGAATAGATGGGGCATGTGTCTCTGTGAAAAAAAAGAAAAAAAAGAAGAAAAAGAAAAGAAATACCGGCTTTTGACTCCAGTACTTTAGGCCATCACCCATTTACCCATTTACCCATTTACCCATTTACCTGAACCATGAACTCTGAACCCTGACACTCTTAAACCAGCAGTACCACCAAAAGTTACGGTGGTTAAACACTCGCCTTGTACGGGCCTGCCTGCCCCAACCTAAGTTCATCCGTGATGAACCGTCATGGTACTGTACCGATAGCAGGGAAAGGCACTGGTGGTTCAAATTCTCAAATTCTGCACCTTAAACTCTAGTGATACCCCAAAAGATCATGTGTGTATTTTTTTAATTATTTTTCCTTGCACAGCAATTTGAGATACCGGGGTCATTACCCGGCTTTGGCTAGGAATGGTAGCTAAGATATACAGAAAATTTGCATAAGAAAAATTCAAGGATAACTGACCTACCCAGTCAGGCATAGCTCAAAGGACGAACTAAACACAAAGACCCTAAAAAGAGCCAGCACAACCCAAACCAGGATAAATGACGCTCAGCTGTCCGAACCTCAATCTGTTTCAACCACCCATCCTCGTTATCAAGACTCTTCAAGGCCTCACACCCCCAACTGCTAGGTTACGAGACAGCACAACCTGCCTCAGAACACTCCCATCTGTTAGGCTACAGGGTGGAACGACCCACCCCGGCTCCGACCACTGTCATCTTGATAATAGCCCCAAACAGCCACTGAACCACCTTCCCCCCTTGAGGCCTCCAGAGCCCTTGTCATGCTCGGGTTACAGGCCAGCACGACCAGACCTGCAGCTCCGACCAGCATCGATCCAGCTCGGCCATTCTGAAGCCTAAGAATGAAGTGGCAATTAGCGCAGTCTCAAGTGAACCGCCAAGCATCACTGCAGTCCAAATTTCGGGTTACTAGCACTGGAAATATACAGATCCTCCCACTTCCCTACAACCCCCCTTCCCACTTCCCTACAACCCCCCTACTCTTTATCATCTCATGACCAGCTGACCTCCTTCACCACATGGTTCGAAAGATCAGAACAGTAGGCAAGCAACCTCATGGGATCCCATGACGATAAAAGCAGACTTCAACTCGTCATCTTCTTACAACGAGGCGACCTCCTACACCACATCACCTTGCCTCCTTCCGGCAAAGACTCACACAACTAAGCCACCATCTTAGTTGCCGCTATGCCCTAATCCTATCCTGCCAGCTAGCCCTCCTCACCAGCAGGACACAGTTTTACCAATCCTTAAATATCCCCCTCCAAACCAGGTACCACCCATCTTCCGCAGACGAAGAAAGGGACAACTAATCAGTACCTCGAGAAGCCCCCACACACACTTACCTGCAAACACTCTTACTCAGCTTCATCTCGCGACGAGCCAGTCTCCTCCACCACATAGTTTGCAAGATGGAGAGCAGTAACCAAATGGTCTCGCAGGACCCCACAGCGAGTAACCGCAGACTACCACTCGTCTTGTCCTTGCGACGAGCCGACCTCCTCCACCATATAGTTCGCAGGAAAATACCATCCAAGTACGACGTCAAGGATGGCGTTGAGTCCTGGATCAGCTCTATAAGAGCCTACTTCGAGGTGCTGGGAACACAACCAGTAACCCAATCCCTGATCACGGGGACAAATGTTGAACCTGTTGGACGGGGCTTCTTAGAAGTCCAAGCTGTGCGAGTTGGGTATACAAAGATAAATCTGACGTAGGCTTAAAGCCACGCCAGTTGCTACACTCAAAGAGATTTTAATTAAACAGTATATAGACCCATATGTTGTTGCAAGAGGTAGAAACAAGCTTGACCATCTCAAGCACAACACGTGGTCAAGCTTCATGCAAAGCCTTCATTCCTATCTCAACAAAATGTTTGCTACTCCCGGATTGGAGATGACTGAACAATCATGTTTGGATGTGGTGAAAGGTATGGTTCCCACTACTTATACACATCGCCTAGGCAAAAACCTCATTGGGTATATGGACTGGCTTTCCCTCATGCAGGATTTAGTCAGCCTCAAGGCATAAGACCTAGATCCGGCATCTGCTGCAAGTGTTGGCATGCCTATAAGTTATCACAACATCTTGATAGTCCTACCTACGATCCGACATCGGAGTCTGTGGCCAACATACTCGAACGCCATGCACTTTTCAATCAACGCTGGACTACTGACATACTGACATCTCGCCCTATCTCTACTTTGCACTTAAAGCACATAAATCCCGCCTGGTCTTCGTCCTATTCTTGGTGTTACTCAACAAAATAACCTTTCCCGGTCTTCACCTCGCACAACACCTCGCCAACCTTCAGTTTCGGATCTGCATAACAGACCCTCTCATAAGCCACTTGCGAGTACAACAATGGTCTCCCGCTCACTTAGCTATGCTCTCCAAGTTGTGATCAAATCTCTGTGCAGTAAGGACAATGAGCTTTATCAAGAAGTAGGTGTACGACGTTGTTGGATCGTGCAAAGTGCTGAGGAAGTCATATTGGATAACTAATAATCCTTTCGAGGCTGTATGCCTCATACAACAAATTTTACAACCATGTACACTAACTTGCCATATGACAATATTTTTAATAATGTCCTAAATGCGGTTCGTGAAGCACATGACTATGCCTTGGTGCGGACCCCGTAGGGTAGAAGACTAATACAAATGGACATGACCATGGGAGGTCTTCGTCGCGGGGATTGGTTTACTTGACACGAGTCAGACACTAACACCCTTTGTGGTTTCCAATATTATCTTTACACAAGGGATGACACTCTGCGCCTTTAGGTGGTAGGTACTAGGTATCCCTATGGGCACTGACGGTGGACCACAAATTGCCAACCTTTCGCTCGATTGGGACGAGGGACAATTTGTCGATGAATTCCATCAGCGGGACCTGCGCGCCATGCACACATATGCGTTCCAATATCGGTTCATTGATGATGTCTTACCTTGGAAGACATCACCAACCCGTCCTGCTCGATATGATCTTGAGTGGAAATACACTACTGAGCAAGATGGGTCGTGTCTTTTACTTGGGGCACGAATCCTGGTTCGACCGGATGACTCACTTCGCATTGGCATGTTTGATACGGCTGAGGCCTGGACATTCCCTGTCATACACTACCCCAATGCTTCCTCTAATGCCCCAGCTCATTAGCCTGCAGGTGTGCTCACAAGGCAACTAATGAGATTCAAATATATCTGTAACAATACCGCCGACTTTAACATTGTAGTGACTTCCTCAACACAACGAATGCTTGTTATGGGCCATCCCCCCAATCTCCTAGCTAGAGACCGAACTACGTATTTGCGTGGCCGACAGTGCCAGCTACCCACTCATGTTTTACAACTTTCAAACTGGTTTCACCACTTGGTACGTTGGGCAATTCCGCACCCACTTCCGGATGCTAATTTTGTGCACAGGTCGTTCGTGCAACCACACACAATAGGCCACTTCCTGAAGCCCAACACCGATTTTGACCACAAGTAGCATCAACCCTCCACAAAACCAAACACAATGGACCTGCCCTCTCCTGTTACTCCTACCGAAATGTCAAACACTGATGTGGATACACCGGTGTGGCAGGAGACCAGGCCAGCCGCAACAAATTTGGTCGAAGTGGCCGCAAGGGAGGAGGGCCAACATCCTACCAATACAGCGGTGGCAGCGGAAAGTATATCGCTTCCACCGCCACAATCGTCGCCGCCACCATCATCACCACCATCGCCCCCTCCTCTTCCACCACCACCCCCATCACCCCCACCGCCCCCACCGCCCCCCCCACCACCACGATAGTCGCCGTCACTGCCACCATCATCTTCATCACCACCACAATCATCATTACCAACACTTCCCCTGCCGACATCTTCTACTATATCAACCCCTCAGTCATTTGCCTCCTCACTTCGTCCTCTTCCTCTTCTCCTTCTTCCCCCTCCGCCACCTTGCAAGCCTCCTCTTCATCATTGACCTCAGCATCATCATCATCATCATCACGTTCATGGTCGGATAAGCCGTGACAAACGCCCCGTCGGGGAACACATCCGTCATCAGGTAGAATGTTGCAGATACCTTTTTGGTGGGGACGTTCCTCGTCTCCACCCCTGCCTCCAAGACAGTGACCTCGTTTATCCTTGAACAACATGATCATTGCGCCTCTTGTAGGGATTAGAGATGTGGTCCGCCGGAAAGCTCGCAACCGTACGGAACGACATCGCCGCCTTCAATATACGCTAGCCAGGAATAGTACATGTCGAGTTTGATGTCCGCAATGTGGCAATGGTTTCTTCAATGCTGCAAGCCTGCGTGTGCACTAGACAAGAGGTGCAACTACTTGTGCAGTGTTTGACAACTAGCAGCTGCTCGACGAACAAGTTCGGCTGATCAACTTCCGCTTCCTGCATCTGGTCCATCTATTTCTCACCTGCCTGACCCGCCCCTCTCTCATCCACCGGGCCCCGCTTGCTCCCCTGCCCCAAATGACAGGAGTATGAAGACGAATGGCAGACAAAAAGACTAAGTATAAGGTGAAGATCTGAAGTAAAATAAACACGAGTATGAAGATCTGAAGTGAAATACACAGGAGCATACCTTCCCCTTTACTCTGCCTCCAGTTATAACGTGCAAGTGGGCCGTTAAGTCACACGGGGATGTGGGCAGCTGCTGCTCAACCACAATCAACGTGGGCATCTTTTTTTTTTTTTGACGGGCCAAGTGCCCAAGG